CCCAGAAGGGTCGTTTTCATTGATTTTTCGCGTCAGTTATTTCTGACTGAGGCACGTAATCTGTATGATCGTGAGGCGAGACAACAATTCGCGATTCTTTTGGGACAGAATAGTGCAAAGGGAAGTTTTCAAATGACGGGCGGACGGACGGACATATGAACTTTTGATGAAAAAACACTTTTTCGGTATCAGGGGATCCTAAAATGTGCATTTCCGTTGAAAAAGATTTTCCGCCGCATTACTAACTTCCTCTATACAACGTCTATTACTCCGTATATACGTACGTATGTGAGAAAGTAAAAAGTGATAGGTTTTCGAGGCGGAAAACATTGATTTCGAATTGAGCATCCCAAAAAGTCTACAAAAACGTCCGAAAAAAGAACCTTGCGAAATTTTTTCCTGGATCGGACCCTTTTGAGTACAAGGTGACTGGACTAGTGTGTGGCTGAGAGTTAATGAGTAGGAAAACATTCTGAGGATTCCGCGTCACTTTAAGTCCAAAAATTTGGTTTTTAAGTTCAGTTTGGCATGAAGCGTTGAATTCTTATTATTTGAACTTTTCATTTCGTGCCCGAAAACTCGGGAAAGTACAACTGATGATAGAAAAATTCAAGTTCGGTATTTTGATTTAGAATTTAATTTTAAATACATTTATTAAAAACATTTCCATTAATTGTTTCACGTATTGAAATCACTCGTCTGAAAATCCTTCAGTGGTGGCGTATTTTCAAGAACAGCCTCAACAGAAAACTTTCTCCGGCAGAAGAGCGTTTCTGTGGTAAACGTATTTCTTCCGATCAATTACAGGCGGGTACAGAACAAAACCTTAACAATAGGTTACGAGCGTTATTACGATTTACGTTTTTTTCTTTTAATGGGTAACTGCCACATACAATAAAACGCAATTACATTCATAAATGTGTTAAATGAATATCGAATCTGAAATAAAGGGAAAGCGTTCGTAAAATTATACATTAAACTCTATTTTTTTTTCTTTTTGAGCGAAATCACTGATATCGTGTGATAATCAAGACCAAAGATCTCGTCTCGTACGTTTGAGAGTCGGTAAAAAGAAAGTGATTTTATTCAATTCCGCCGATAGCCACTATTCAGTGCCTAATTATTACGGTCCCTTCTTCTTGGCCCCCATGTTCCTCCCTCGTATTTCGTGTGTGATGGGTGGCAGAGAATGCCGTATTGAGGTCTCTCTGCTGAGGAAGACACTGCAAAGATTAATATACAGCACATCGTCCCAAACCAGCTATGAAGGTAATGTAAGGGTATTTGATCTACAAAATGTGTGAGTTTATAAAAGTACTTTTGGTGTTCGTTAGGTTACGGAATTTTGTAAATGTATGTTGTTTCGTAAAATATCACAATCATATTGTAAAGGAAAGAATTGTGAAATATGAATTTTGTTGCAATGAATTGCATATTAATTCATTTCAATCACGATTTCTATGAGATGTTCATTACAGTAACTGAAAACGGCAGACGGACTCTTTTGAAGTTTAATATGCATAAATTGTTGAAGAATTCTATCAAATTTGGCCAAAGCATCTTTCAATTTTAGCACTTTTTAAAAG